TTATTTTGTTTGGAAAACATCCCCCTATTTTTACTATAAATATGGAAATGATATACGAATACCGAATTTTTGGGTCAAAATCTCTTTTTTTAGTTATCTCAAAATCATGATTTTGCTGTTAGGTCCTTTTCTATTTTCCGCGCCCCATATATCGGGGGTAAGATATGTGAGGGTTAAGGTATGGGCTTAGGGTCATACCTTAACCTTGACATATCTTACCCCCAATATATCTTACCCCAGGTGTTAAAGCACGCACACTGTCTTGGACACTACAGTCATTCTCATCAGGGATGATGATTTTTTGTGTTTCACATAATTTCACAGATTTCTGTGATTTCTGTGATATAAGAAGAAATCATGTTACATCACCACAAAAATTCACAAAAAATAGGTTACATCACAGAATTTAATTAAAGTTGCATACTATACCTTATTTTGAATAGTATTTACATATTTGTTTGCATATTTTGATGTTTTAACTGTTATAATTATATATTGTGTGAGAATATTTTTATTACTTTAACAAATAATGACTTCACAACGTCTTAAAAATTCAGTGGTGTCAATTCATTCTCGAATCAGAGAATATCCTGAAGTTTTTAGAAATGATTCTGGAATAATGTTTTGTATTTATTGTGACAAATCTATTGACTGGAAACACAAATCAACAATAGACAGTCATGTCAATAGTATTAAGCATGAATCAAATAAAAGAAAATACAAAGCTAAACAACAAGTATCTCACCAACAAACCCTTCAAACTACACTTAGAGCAGCAGATTCCAAAAAATTGTAATAGAAGATTTAATTGAAGCATTTGTTGGTGCTGATATACCACTTCAAAAGGTTGATAAATTGCTCCCCTTTTTCAAAAAGCATTTAAGAGAAGGAGGTGCAATTCCAAAAGCTCCAACTCTAAGACAAGTATATCTTCCAAATATTTTTGAAAGTCATTTTTCTTCTCTTAAATTGCTATTTGATTCTAAACCAGTTTCTATTATTATGGATGAAAGTTTAGATGATTGTGCTCGTAGTGTAGTAAATACTATTTTTGTATACCACAATTACACCAAGCTTGTTTCAGTTGATTTTTTAGATAAAGTCAATAATTCAACAATTGGCCAGACACTTTTTTACATCTTAGCAAAATACAACATACCTTTTGATAAGCCAATTGTTTTTTTGTCAGACTCTGCTGCATATATGAAAAAAAGTTTTCGTGAGGTATTACATCCTGTTATGAGACAATTAATTCATCTACCATGCTGTGCACATATTATGAACTTGATTGGGTAAATTTTTTTATTTAATTATAATAATTACAATAAATAATTACAATAAATAATTACAATGAATATAATTTTTTTTATTATATAGTGAAACTTGGATAAAATTTCCCCAATTTAGTATTGTAAAAAAGTTTTTACAAAATATTAAAGATGCTTTTGTGAAATCAGCTGCACAAAGACGTCAGTATATAACTCATCTTAAACATCATGGAATAGTATCACCATGTAAAATACCACTTCCTAATGCAACAATATGGAATTCATGGTTTAAAATGGTATTATATACAAAAGAATATATCAACTACTGGCCACATTTTTTTGAAAGTGAATTGCAAGAAAATTCTAATAATACATTATTAGAAATTCATAATACTTTACAAAATGAACATGAAAGAGGCATTATTACAATTTATGTTTATTTCATTTCAATTTTTTCACAAGAATTTATTCAAACTCTTGATTTTTTCCAACAAAAAAATCTACCAGTATTTCCTTATATTGAAACAAGACTCCAGCATCTTACAGCATATTTAGAATCAAATAGAACTGCTGAAAATTTTGGCTCAGGTCTTGATGAATTAATTCTTAGTCTTCATTTTGTTCCTAGAGATTTTTATCCAATTTTTCATGCTGCATTTGAAGCTGCATTTTTAAAATTTTCTTTACATATACCTAATCATCCAGCACGTGAATTATTTTGTGCATGTAGAGTTTTTGATCCTGTTTTTATTCATCTGGGAGATATTCAATGAAGAAACATTAGACTTTATTCTACAATTGTACCATTTAACAATCCTTCACATAATCTTTTGTATGAATGGGGCATATATTGTGGATTGGAAACTCCACTAGATTTAGGAGAAAATATGATTGAGAAGTTTTGGTTAGATAAAGTGAATGAATTGCCAATTTTGTCTAGCATTGCATTAGATTATATTTGGCTACCAATTTCCAGTTGTACAGTTGAAAGGAGTTTTTCTTTTTACAATACCATCTTGGATAATAATTGGCAAAATTTGTCTCAAGATTCTTTAAAAATATTAACTATGATGCATTTTAATTCAAATTAATTAACCTTCCTTCTTTATGTTTATATTTTTTTATGTTTATTATATATCTTTATCTGTTATAACATAATAAACATTGGTTTATATTAAATTATCAATGTATTTTTATCATAATATTGCCACATAATTTCACACATTTACCAAAAAAGCACCACAAAACTTCACAAATTTAGGCTTGAGCACAAAAATATTTTACCTTATGTCACAGGAAAAAATCATCGTCCCTGATTCTCATGTTCCTCATTTACACAAGGTTAATCTCATCGAGATACTCTCAAAGTGATAGAATGATGCAACAGAGTTCCAGGAATTTCCGTTCATCGACCAATAGTCAACGATGTCTTCACTAATCTTCCCTCACAACACCCAAACCAGAAAAGGCTCTTTAATTTTCATTTGACCAACATTGGTGTGCCTAAATTCTGGGAAAATCCAAAACAGCAACCCATTGCAGACACTGACTTTATTCTAGAGGGGTATAACACAAAGCAATCATCACACAAATGCAGATCTTCATCAGTGATCAATGCTCATACAGCAACAATCAAGCCTGGTCCGAGGGGAAAATAAGGGAAAGTTTTTGTTGACCTTATAAAAAAACCTTCAAACAATTGGGGAGCCTTCACTTGTAGTAAAAATTTCTGCAATTATGGAGGCGGTACCATTGTTTATGGTAAGGAAAATTTAATTAAATCTGACACCTGTGACCAACATCAGATTTATTATTGGGAAGGAAAACCCTCTCTATTTATTTATTCTTGTGAACTACTGGTAGACATGCATTATTAAAAAAATTTATTTTTGCATGGCCTTGGTATTATTACTACTTGGGTGATGCAATTGTTTGTTATATCAACAACATCAAATGTATTGAATAATTATCATGAATATTTAATGGATGCAGATATTCACAGAAGGAAAGGATTAAATAACAACAAAAAGGCTAAGTTTGTTTTTTTATCAACAAAAATATATAATTAATTAGATTTAAAGATTATTATCTTATTCCACTTTTTTATGATATATTGATTATGATATATTCTTGTAAGATCTGGCGGTGTACGATCAGAGAATTGTCACGCAGCCATATTTTATTAATCTTAGAAAACAGGTAGAAAATTCAACATCAAAAATTCTAGTTTAATATATTCAAAACTACAAATGCACCCCACCGATCATGAATTTTAGCCAATGGAATTTAAGCTTTTTTTTTATGAAAACGACAAGTATCCATTAAATTAAAGCCCGTTTATTTATTGTCATTATCAGATCCAAAGTCAACGGATGAACAACAACTACAGTGTTTGATGGTATTATCGAGCAAATTGAAGAGAATGTTTCGTCGAGGAACCTAATTTTTGAATTTTAAGAAAAATATTAGTTGGATTCAAATTTTGACTTCTTTACATTTACTTAACCCATAATCACCACCATCACCAGCAGTAGAAACATTAGTAACTACAATAACAACTACAACAAAAGATTTCGTAGGTACAGTATTCCTACTTAAAATAAGTCTGCGCGTAATTATTATACTTGTAAGTTCTATATGATGTTACACATTACAACAAGTTTTACGCAAGCATCACATCAGATTTGACCTGGAAAAATCATTTGTTGTCTGGTACTATTACAGAAAACCAATATTTTACAAATTCAATAACAACACCATCAAATAAAAACAAATTGTCATGATATTGATGATAATAACAACGGTAATTTATAGTGATGATAGTGGTTCAGAAGAAATATTTATAGAAATTGACAATACTGAGATTATGGGAATTATCAATGACAATTCTGAAAGTTGAAACTTTAAGAAATATTTTTAAATAATGATAATACCAATAACAACAACAACAATGATGGTGATGATCTTGTAATTGATTCTGATAAAATTCTAAAACAAGAAAATTTTTCATTTTCAATTATTGAAGAGAGATAATGATAATAATAATTGTGATGATACAAATTTACAAGATTCTCATACACTCAAATTCATGCTTAAAACTAGGTTCAGGCAAAAATGGCAGTATATACAATTCTTTCATGAGTGAGTTTGCATGAAATATAGACCGGAAAAAGAATTCAATCAGTGCCGTTAGATGTCTTCAAATTATAATACCACAAAATGTTAATCCAAATGTAAAACGAACCATTTAATTATTGAACTCATGGCCTATTGATTGTCACTGGCTCAAATGACACTACAATAAAAGTGTAATATTTACCTATCATCGTACTATGCCTTATTCATCATCTGATAGGACTCAATTTAGTAATAATACATATTTCCCTTGCACTCTTCAGGATACTGTTCTCACATTAGCAGGCATCGGACATACTTTGGTTACCAGTCAGTATTTATGATGATTGCATTGTCAGGTTTGGAATATCATGAATTGTGAGTTTATTTTGCATTTACAAGGCCATACAAACATATTACACTCAGTTATATTAGATCTGAAACAAAAAAGATGTATGAATGAAAGTACAGGCAGTACTGTTAAGACATGGTGCCTCAAATATGGCACAAATCTCTCGTCATTAAAATGAAATTCATCTATTTTTAGTCTACTTTATTCTTTCGCATGATTTTTATCACAGCAGCAAATAATTTGAGTCTTCATATATGAAACCTCGACGATGATACACGAAAACATACTCGTTGTAGTGTAACTATATGCTTCCAGCATGATATTATCAAACTTCTATGACGAGAAAGCAATAGAAAATTGTGCCTGTGGGATGTAAGGACCAGAGAAATGATCAATGAATTAATCAATTATTACATGTAGTAGCTGGTGTATGATAATGTTATCAATTATATCTGTATTTTTTTTTTTTTTTGAATTTAAAATTTATATATATATATATATATATATGTTTATGTATATATGTTTATGTATATATAATATTCCAGCCTATCAAGTTCAACGAATGATAGTATTCAAAAGGAATTCTGTAATGTGGTTGGAGATGCATTGATTTTTGCTTTACATCATATCAAAACTAAATAATAATAAATGCAACAACAACTATGCCAACAAAGGAATAGACAGATACATTAATAATCGGAAGTATATTGGATACTATGATAATATGATTTGTGTGACTTCCGGTGCAATTTGATTTAATGAATGAACAAATTAATTAATGGGTGATCTATTGGTGGTGAATGGATATCGAATGAAATAATTTTACATTTGGTAATCAATCTCGATTGTAATTCGTTGTATATACAATAAGGGTAATGGTATTGACATATGAAAGTAAAATTGATAGATGGTATTATAATTCGAGGCCTTCTTGCGATTGAATCAAGATTAATGGATCCAGATGAAGCTATTCATGATGATGCACGTCTACCTTTACCTGATTTATCTTTTAATTTTTTTGAAAAACAGTTTGATGGCTTAGAAAATAAAGATGTCCGCATTCATACATTAAACCATATACATAATGCTGTAAATCAAAGGTAAAAATAAAGCATTACTTGGTACTACTGTCATATTTAAAAGATCAGAAGGATGGTGGTTAGTACATTCTTTAAAAATTTCATGAGTTATATATATATTGTGATGATAATTTGGCAAATTATCTTATGGGTTATAGTAGACGATGCTCTTCCTGATGTAGAAGATTAATATGTTAATAAAGTGATGAGAGTAATGTTACAATACAATTAACATTTAAATATTAAGGAGTGAGAAAAGAAATGTATATTTTTTTAATATAATAATCATTTTTGGTTTCTAAAAAAAATCTAAAATTAAATTAACGAAATAATTACATATTAATTACAATTTACATTTACTATTATTATCATAATAATAAAATATTAACTATTCTATTCGACAAATAAATCTTTTAGCTTTTCAATTTCTTTAAATAAATCTTTAATTACTTCAACTTGTGAAGAATTCTCTACACTCCTGTTATTATCACCATCACCATCGTTATTGTTGTTTTCTAGTATTACTAAATCATCCAATTTATCATCTAGATATTTTCCAGTCATATTTATCAATACAACTAAATACCAATCAGCTGGTGTAAATCCAACAAATTCGGAAGATAATTTAGAATATTTTATTTTATTTTTCTTATAATTAAAGTTATTATTTATTATGTTATAATTGCTTTTTTCTTCATTATTTGATAAATTATCATTTGAAATTTCATCTTCTAATGATTCAAATGAAGTTATTATTTTTTTATAGCCTTCTGCTATATCATAAAGTAATTTGGAGGATGACTGATTATTCTGATCCAAATCTGTATTTTGTAGTAATAACATTTGATCTATAAATATTTTGTAAAATCTTAAATTTAATAAATATTCTAATTTCAACGTTTGCAAAACTGTATCAACGTGAACTATATTTTGCGAAAAGAACTCATCGTCAAATTCATCATAACCATCATAATTGTTAGCAAATTGATTCCTATCATTTTTAAGATCAGCATATGAATAAGCATCTATGGTTGTTAAAGGCGTAAGTAGTGATGAGGTTTCATCTAAGGATGATGCTGATGAATATGAAGAAGACATCATGGTGTCATTAGATACTGGGGTTGTTGGCACTGAAAGTGAAAAAGATGACATCGTTGATGTCGTTGATACAGTTGAATAATTTCTTTGATGTGTTAAAATTTCATCATCATCATTATTATTATTATTATAGTTATTATCGTTATTTAATTTTAATTCAAGAACTTTTGATTCTATCGTCTCGGTTGCTAATGTTATTATTGAAGAGGATTCTTTGATGAATAATTTATCAAATTTATGAATAAATTTTTCTCCAATATTTTTTATCCAATTGCTCAACATTTTCAAAAAATGAATAAATTGTTTGTACAAATTTTCAATAAATATATAACTTTTTTGTGTAAAACTAAACTTTTTCCATTTGTTATCTAGATATTCTTGATGACATTTGTTAATATGTTGAATTGTCATTCTAATAATTTGTAACATTAGTTGGTCTGCTGAAGAAGAAGAGGAGATCAACTCCTTGTACTTCAATTCATAGTCATCCAATTCTCTATAAGCTTCTTGTAGTTCGTCGAGCTTCTGCTGAAAAATATCATAATTTATTTCGAGTAAATTTATTGTTTTCATTTGATCTGCCAATATTTCACAATGTCTAATTGTTGAAAATTGTTCTAATTTTTCTTCAAACATTTTGTATTTTTAAGATTTTTGATTTTAATAAAAAGTTGTATTTTGTAAAGATAAAAAAAAATTTGTAAAATTGAAAGAAAAAAACAAATAAATTAAATATATATATATGTGTGTTTTTTATTGCTTTGCCGGTTCATATCAAGTAGGTCACACACAGATATAAATTAATTTTATTTACGACAACGGGCTGTGCTTTAAGTTATTCCTTATTTATTCTTGGTGTTAGCTTTTTTAATTAATAATCTTTTTCAATCAACTGAAACCAAATATTTATATTGCAGTTATTATAAATTTTAATGTGTAGAACCATTGATATAAATAAAAATTATTAATTTGTTTCAAAAACATAATTCAATACGAGTTTTTTTAAATATATCTGTGATCTAATGGATTCCTTTTTTGAGAAAACTATATAATAAATGTTTGCTATGAAATTAATCAATATTTTTTTATTTTCAGGAGTTAAAAGTCAATATAACATACGCGTAATAACAATATATATACGCGGCTATGTTATTATTATTATTGTTGTAATGAAGAGTATAAAAAAAGTACGGAAAAAAAATCAACTTGTTGATCTCTATTAAAATCAATTCATCAACATTATAATAATAATTAATTAATTTGCTGTTTGTTTGTTATCTTGGCTGAAAGACGGAAAGGAGAAGACTTTTTAAGAATTACCAAGTTAATTGGTTACTGCATATTTTATTATCGGGAGTTATTATGTTACGGTTTAGCCAATAAATAAACTACAAAGAAAATTTATCGGTTAAATAAGATGATGAAAATGATGATTTATAAATGGACAGATAAAATCGATTATATGCAAAGTAATCTTAACAAAAAAAAATTAGGACATAATCATTGTCTAAATAAAAACTTAATTTATATATTTCTAGTAATTTAAGATTGGTTTTTTTCATATGAAATTTACTAAATCGTTTTCTAATTCTATAATCACAAAAACGGCCAAAATTGCCATTTTTGTATAATGTACAATTGAATCTAATGAAAATAAAGCGTTTCACAACAAGTCACTGTTCTATAAAGTAACGGGTCCAAGTGAATCGTAGAGCAGAATCAACACCCTTATTTAAATATTAAGTCAAAAGTCATTCATTCATTCATTCATCCATTCATTCATCCATTCATTCATGCTAACGGAACAATGGTGATCTTTCTTGAACTTTGCGACATTTGGAACTTGGCATTGGTTTAAAAGATTTTAAAATATCGTTTTGCAACACAATCAGATAAAATGAAGCTTCAAAGGTAAATGCCACAATAGTGCCACAGCTTATTTTTTTAGTGTGTGAAAAATAAATAAATGTACAGATGACAAATTAATCAAGTACATTCATACATGTATTGGTTACATTATGCATGTTTAGAGATTGCAACCATTGTCGCAATTTACTAATTATGGCAAATACCTTTATTATTATTGGGATTGGTGTTGATTCATTCATTGTTAACTGTTGCTGTTCATCCAAATAAACTTTATTTTTAAAAAAGCCAATAATTGCTAGAACAATACAACCTTTTAGAAGTATACTTTTGGATTATTAATATTAAAAAGAAACATTCCAAATCCGTTTACACAAGCCTGAAGCTAGCCAATAAGACGTTGTGCACGAGTCGTACCCAAACATAATTAGATAAGGATAACTCTGAAATTATAACGGGAAGTATCTGTTCATCAACATGAGCAAAAACATAGATCGGATCAATTATACTACGAATATTAATCAGCCTGTACTAATATTTGTAAGAGCCAAAGCACCCTCAAAATTGTCTCTGGAAAAAAGTTTAGCAATTGGCATAATATCATCGGATGTCCCAGATGAACTGGATTTTTCAAGAGTGTACATATTAGACAAGAGATGACTATGCCCCGAAAAGATTCGGCATTTAATTCCACTTGCATTCAAAAATTTCATAAGCTTTGTTCATTTAACAACAAACGCCAGATTATAACATGAAAAACAAAACAAAATGAACATGTTAACAAATTAGAGCCTGCTTACCCTTGAAGTTTTCTAGTAGTAATAATGTCAGGTTTGGCATTTCTTTTTGTAAGTATTGTGGAGCAAAGCAGCAAGATATGTTTGACAGCATAGGAGTGACAATGCTGCAAACAGTACAACAGAAAGATTATTCGTGAGTTAATGAAATGTTCGCATTCCTAATCTTTAATCAAATATCTTCTTTAATGCCAGTTGAAGATGCTACAAACAAATTTATTTGAAAGATATGGACGTGTCAAACCCAATGATATATAAAGATGCCACTGGTACAGTGTGCAACTGTATTTCTCTGAAGAATATGGAAAATTACATGATTTCGTTATTCATATTTAATATCAGTCAAACAGGAAGTGTAATTACATATATATATAAAAAGAAAATTCGACTCGTGTAACAAACCAGTTTTTAAAATATCTCATTATTTTTATAACAAATTCAAACATCATTATTAAACAAAAATAAAACTATGACGTTATAGCTTTATAACAAGCTCTCTCCCATATTGATAGAGGCTCTCTATGTCAAGCTATGTTTATTCAAAAACAGCATTACTTTTTATTTCAAAGCTAAGATTTTTTACCAATATTACCTTTATAAACTTTGGTGGGTGATTGAAAAGGTGTAAATTATTATAAGTTTTCATATAGGTATAGTTTTATGTGAATTGCTGTTTATTAAAGTTTAGTGAAAATGACAAAAAAACATATTAAATTTATCAAAATTTATTTAATCAATATATACACAAAAAGGGCACGAGTAGTGACCAAAATAAATAAATAATTTCGGTAATTTGGTTAATACCAAGATTTTTTCTATTTTATTAATAACCTAATTTTTTTCCAAAAGAAGGAATAAGTCTTAAAAAATCTGTGTCTCAAATTTAGTGAGCAAAAAAGGTTTAAAATTAAGGTTTGTAATTCTATATACAGTCAACCCTCCATAAGTGCTCCCTCCATAAATGCACCTCCTCCATAAATGCACCTCCTCCATAAATGCACCCTGTGTCCCAGTCCCAAGCTCGGGACTTAGAGATAAGTGCACTCCCTCTATGTTCTGCACTGCACGGTCTTTTCCTGGTCCCATTTATATAAAACCACCCTCTCTAAGTGCACCCCCGTGACCACACTGCATTATAAAAAATTTAGTATTAGTAATTCCATGTTACATGTACACTAATAATGACATTTTATTAAAACATTGTATATAAGATAATAACAATTCAAGTAACAAGTAAAAAAAGAATTCTTTCTTTTATTACAACAAATGATTAATTCTTTCTTTTTAATAGATATAGAGAATTATTAGAATAATAGAGTAAGAATCCAGGAGACAAAGCTCTTGCATTTTTTATAGTTGGGATTATTATATATAAAGGTAAAGGAGGGATCATAACAGATAAAATTAAGAATTTTACTTTAAAAAATAAAAATGCCCAGTTATTATATATCAATCTTCTAATTCATTATTATCAACATTATTGAATCATTGTTCACTGTAATTCATATTCTTTTATAACTCCCAAATAAAAATAGAGAATTGTTATTCGCACCTCCCATTTTTGTTATTCGCACCCCTCCCGTGACTAAAACAAAGATGAACCAATAAAATCATCACATTTTAAAGCCATTCATTGGTCACATTACTACACTTAGTCACGGGAGGGGTGCGAATAACAAAAATGGGGGGTGCTAATAACAATTCCCTAAAAATAATAAATGTTTTCAAGTAAAATAACTTTATCTGATACCCAAAAATATGAATTTTGCTTATTTGCTGCAAATAATAAATTGACCAGAAAAGAATATGTTGCATGGATTGAACAAAAATGGGGGTTACAGTTCATGAATCAACAATAACTAGAACTATACAAAAAAGTAGAAAAATACTTAGCACCAAAATTACCAATTTAGAAGCAAAAAGACATAAATCTGTGATTGTCCCTAAGCTCTTAAGGAATTTGTTTTAATTTACCAACACAAAGCAATCTTAAGTGATGTTATTTTAGTTGAAAAGGCCAAGCAAATTGCAACTGGGTTAGGAGTTTTTGAAGGAACGTTGACATTTAATTTTTGCATTGTAATAATTTTATAAATAAAAATCTTTTTTAATTTTTCATTAGTGTCACGTGCAACCAATAAAATACTTTTGTTCTATAAGTGCACCCCTCCATAAGTGCACGGTCTCGCCTGGTCCCAAGGGGGGTGCACTTATGGAGGGTTGACTGTATTAGAATTTCGACGTTGATCACCAAAAAATTTCGGAAAATACACTTCCCAATCGTTTAATGTGACACATCGTTCGACTATATATTAATATGATTATATTATTATTATTATTATTATTATTATTATTATTATTATTATTATTTGTTTCTTCGTTCCTTCGAATTATTCATTTATTCGTTTATTCATTTTATTTGCTCATTCGTTTTATTCGTTTCATATTAATATTATTAACAATGAATTTCGGGCATAATTTGAAACAAAATAAAAGCATTTTGTTAATGATAAATCATTGATGTTTTCGGATATAATTCTATTTTTGAAGTAAAATCAAATAAAATCCTTTTATTTATTATAATTCCATTTATTGTTAACAATAAATCATTGATGTTTTCAGGTGTGATTCTATTTTGAAACAAATATTTATTGCAATTTATTCATTTAAAAATGTCTAATAAACAAACACATCAAAGAAAACTGTTAATAGTATTGGTTTCATGGTTAGGATGTGAAGAAAATAAAAATGCAGTTCTTCATTTTTGTAACTTTGAAATGGAAGTACAAAACTTGCATTAGATACAACAGATTTAAGTCTAAAAGACATTTAGAAATCAATGAACATGAATTGTCAGGTTTTGTCAATGAGAATTGTTTATTTTCTATCTAAACAAAATCTCTCCTCAAATATTTATTCTGATCTATGAGAATTGATGACATTATAGTTTGAAAATAATAATCAATTAATAATTAGTGAAAAAACCTCTGGTTCTATTAATGCTATACCACACGAACAAGTGATTCATTATGTTTCATTATAGTAAATAATTATATAAAACACCTTAAATAAAGGATTTATTTCATGCAGTATATTCCCACATTATCATTCCAAAATTCTAAATGTCTAATTCCTTTGTATAAGGTTTTTTTTGATAATACTCAGGTGCCAGATACGGAATAACCCTGTAGATTTTATTCAGATTGTCTTTTCTATCAAATATCCTATTATACTAAAACCAATTTCATAGGAATAAATATTACCACTATGCAAGTCATGATGAACGTAATTTTTGTAATGAATATTTGATAATCTAAATAATGAATAAATGGGTAAGTTAATAAAATATATCCTACAATCTCTCAATCATTGACTCATAAACATTTTATTCCCATTTTTTTAATAAAAATATTATTTTTACCCAAGTCACTTCAGGAATTAAAGCTCAAAAACGACTTTTAAACCAATTTAAAAACCAGTTTAAACCAATTTAAAACCAATTTAACTCCAACGGCAATAAAATAAAATTTTTGTGGGTGAAATTAATAAGGTTATCACATGTTCATCACATGTTTATATAACATTTACTTATTGGAATGAGTCAAATTCGCCCATATGACTATAATTATTACAATGTAGTGTGATTCTTTATTATCAATTATATGTTATGCTATAAATATTATATTTTTACTATGCATATAGCACACAACCCGAATAAACAAATAATAAATCAGAGTTCAATTGCTCTGATGATTATTGAAATCTTTTAACAAGTTTTCATTATTATTAACATTTTCTATTGTAAAATGCATTAATTCTTTTTTTTTCCTCCTCTCTTGCCTACTTCTCTATTATCAACTTTCTTACTTCCTTCTTTTTGGGGTATATACATCATTTCTGTAATAAATAGAGATGCCTTACTCTTTTCAGGTGGTGTATGTGTCACCGATTAAATTTGGGGGAGAGCGTATTTTAATTGGTGATAATAATTATTTGTTTTTTTGCGTGGATCAGAATGAATAGGGGATCAACGAATTGATTTTGGTATTAGCGAATAATTTTGGTTAAAGAAGATAAAAGTTTATTTAAATAAAATATTACTATTTTATTTATTTAGTTTTCTTAGTCGAAACTAATTAACTTATGAGAAAGTTAATTTACAAGTACATTGAATTCAAGTTTCTTATATACAATTCAATTAATTAGTAATTCTAACATCCCAAAATTGTGAAGATATCTCAAAATTGCGAGGATATCCCAAGACGATTCTTTCTTGAATAAGTTAAATAAATTACGACGTTATACAAATAATTAATAAATAAAATATAATTATAATAAAAATTAAGAATTTCGGAATTAGTTAAATTCGGCCAAAAGAGCGTCCAAATCTAATTCCGGTAACATGTGTAAACCTGCTTCCATGATATATTCGTGTAAATTATTTAAACTTTCTAGAAGCATTTCCTATAAACATTACAATAAATTTAGTTATTATACAAGAATTAATTGAAAAAAAAGTCTCAACGAAAAATAAGGATGTATACCTTAATATTAAATAAAAGAAACATTGGTATGCATTGACGCATCAGCACTATATTGATTTGACTAGTTGGTAATTGTGATTGTACAACTTCTCTAAATACATATAATCCTCGAAACGGTACAGTCATTTTGTACACAATTGCATTGTGATCTACAATCATTTAAAAATTAATAAAACAAAAAATATAAGATTGTCATTAATACTGAAAACATTTACCATATATCTGCAAGCCATAAAGTTTCAACAAATTGAAAAGTGAACTATCTCCACCGTAAACTCAAATTACTCTGTTTAACATTATTTTCCAATCTTTATTTTATCAGTGAAAAAATGTGTGTTGTCATTGATTAGGAGGTCCACTAACTTTGGAAATGACAAACTCAATTTTTGCAGATTTTGTTGCTCAGACAACATCAATCTTTCGTCCAGAACTTTGTTCTTCTGCATCATTCTTTTTTAAATCAGCATCTTCAGCTGATGCAAATAAGCATACTTCACCACTTAATAGATAAAAATTCATATTTATCTGATGATCATTTAAAATAAGCAATTTATATTTAAAATGATGTCATTTATTACTTACAAAAAGAGATCCAAATCTGTACTTTTTTTTTGAAATAAATTCTGAATTACAGGCGTTAAAATCTTCTCACTAATTTTGCCTCTAATTTTTTATTATTATTGTTGCCATCATTATTTAAATGATAATTGTAAAGATATTGATAAACTTTTGTCAAGTTTAATAGTAGCTTCATATGATATTCCATTAATTTATCAGACATCAACATACAATTCTTGTCATTTCTATTCCATTTTGTTAAAAAATCCTTCAATTCCTCAATACCATTTATTTTTTACTGAATTGGCAATTAGTTTCCACAAACTATGTTCTAATCTATTTTAGGTGACTTAGTGTATATAGAATATTATCAGAAAAAAAGTTTCAAATAAAATTAGATTTTTACCATTAAGTTTATATTCCATCATTATCTTTACCACCATCCTGATCATTCTAGTTTTCTTTGATTCCTGGATAAACAGCAAAACAATAATTTAGATAATCACTGACTAGTTATTGTGAATAATATTTTATGTCTAATGTATCAAAAAAGAATAATTTCGATTTATTTATAGTATTAATAAATCCACTCACTTTTATTTTTTATTTTTATTTTTTGTTGATTTATAAATTTCTGATGTCACCTAATTCCCTTTCAGTGTTGGTGTGTTCACCCAAAAAGATGAAAGTCTTGATTCAAAGTTCAATATTCTGTTATCTATTTTCTTCTGTTACATTGTGTTGATGTTGGGTTACTTTCTCGTATTTTGCTTGTTTGTGCTTTTTCTGGTTCATCATTCCTTTGGCATGTTATGTTGTGACAAAATGAAATTTAGGTTTTTACCAAAATTAGAAAATTTTAGGGAAAATCAAGATTTATATGTAATGTGTAACGTTGATCACAGCGAACAAAAAATTGAGTTTATTCTTATATTATCACTACCACTACCACTACCACTGTCATCTCATTCTCATTCTACCGCTATTGTTACTGCTACTACTTTTAATGTGCCATTATTACATCTGATGCAATTACATTAGACAAAGAAATTTGTATAAATGTTCTATTTATGAATTGATAATATTTATTATTAATATTTGTCAGTATATCCATATCCATTCACCATATTATATTGCACTCAGATAATTAATTGCATGTATAACTATTAATAAAAACAGGTATTAATAGATAGATATGAATAAGAATGTTACATCTACCTACAGTCTTAAATTTGTGATATAAATGATAGCCTTTACTCATAATAGAGTAATAAATACTTATCTGTAATTAAATTGTATATAAAAAAATAGTTTAATAAATAGTTTAATAATATCATAAAGGAATACCTCTTTAGTAAACTCTGCAGATATTGACTATCAGAGATGGCACATGTTTAAACAACAATCTATGCTTGGTTTTACATCTAATGGTAGAGTCTCATATGTGATTGTATTGGAAGTTTTTTTTTTTTAAATAAAGCAAAGTTACTATTTAAAATCTCTTTGCTTCTAGTAAAAATCTATGAAAATTATTTCATTATAGATGATGGCATGTAGAAACTATTTTTTTTTTAAAAATAAATCATTTAACATTTAATAATTGAAATAATTATGCTTGTAGCTTATTCATTGCTTCATGAAGTGATCCAGGTATCAAGAGAATTTTGGGTAATCATTCTTAATTTTTTGTGCATAATTGAATGGAACACCATTAAAAGCCATTGTAATTCATTTTCTTTCACATCTGTTGATATCACTAATTTCTTGAATGTGATCTAAAACTTTACAAACATTATCAATTGAATTGGGATTTAATTGTAAAGGGCCTGGAACAGAAATATCAGGCACCTTGATACCATCCTGAGGTAATGCTTTTTGAGTTATGCTGATTGTATTTATTGTGTTATTAGAGATATTGGTATTATTTGGATATAATTTGAATTTTAAAGGCTTGGTGGTATTTGTCTCAAAGATTGATTGATTATCTTCTTGAATTTCTTGTTGGGTCTAAGGTTGTGGGTGAAACATCCTTAGTAATTGCTGAAACCATGGCAAAACTATATTAAATCTTATCAAAAATCCTGTTGAAACTATGCCAAAATGGCGAAACCTCAAAATATGAAACTCTGCTGAAACCCTGCTGATTGATTTCTGTAGGAGTTTCGGCAAGCAACCTTAGTTGGGTTTCAGTGAGTGTATAAAGTTTTTGATTGCATTGAGGACATTTACACTTTGAATTTTCAATTTCCTTTATACCACATTTAATATACCTTTTTTGTTTGTCTATAGTAGAACTCTTTAAAATAAGATTATCTATAGGATCTTTTTTTTCTCTACATGCATCAGCTAAGATAACAGATAGATAATCTTGAAATTCTTTATCAAGTAATGCTTGCATATCTGGTGTGATTTTAAAAAGTTCTTGAATTTGTAATGAATCTAACTTTTGGTACAACCAAGGTGCCCCAATCATCTTTGTTTGATCAGTAGGATCAAAATTAAATGAAAGGAAACTAGTAGCAACATGAAAAGTTACCACGGTCTAAATGATTTTTTCTGACCCTTTTGTTGATTATCAAATGCCAAAAAATACTAAACCATTTAGAAATGGTAAAAATTCACCAGCTAAATTTTCCTGCCATTGAATAAATTTGTTATAACCACCTGAACTTAAGAAGTGGTTATCAACATCTATAGTTTTTTTGATTTGGCTATTGAATATTTGATTGCTGATGATGCTAAATTTATAGCAGAAACATATTTAAAATGCCTTGCCCATAAATGGCTTCAACTGTCATAGCACATTTGAATAACTTTTCCTCTTTAAATTGATCATCATCATCATGAAATATGAAAGCTTCAAGAAACTTAACAGCAATTGGATTTTGTTTAGAAAGCCATTCAGAAGTAGAATACTCTAAAAGGCTATCAAAACTAAATCATTTTTTTATCATTAATTAAGTTCATGATATCATTCAATTCTTATTGCTTGATCATCAAATTTTCTGTTCCATTTTTTTTTCAAATTATTATTTCTGATACTAATTGTTCATTTTGATATTCCAGTTTCTTTATTCTTTGCTCATAATCTTTTATGATGTTATGTAATATATTTATTGTTTTCTGACTGCATTAATTGTTTTTTAACATCTTCTAATTCAAATACAAGATTAGTGTTGCCTTTGCCCTCAAATTCATCATCTTTCAAAATTTCATAAATGGGAGCTTCGATTGCATTGTTGTCAGTAGTTAGCTTAGGCCTTTTTTGTTCATTTTCTTTTATGATAGATGAGGAACTTGAATTATCTGTCTTTTTTAAATGCCCAATAAAATAATTTTCCAAAGAATTAAGTAATAAAAATAATTCAGGAAAATGCTTAGCCAAAAGTTTTTGCTCTTTCAATTGATTTTTCTCCTGATGCAAAACGCCATTTCTGATTCTCCACAGCTTCACACTAAACTAAAAGAGAATTTTTATATCTCTCAACAAGACTTTCAAATAAGCATGGTAAATTTTTTGGTTTGAGTGTTGTATTTGTCATTATAATTTATACACATATGATTCTATATATGAAAAAATAAAAAATAATCACAATTTCAAGTTTTAAAAAACTACATTGCTTTGGGGATTATGAAACTATATATCAAAAAAAAAACGACATAACATAACGCGGGAGTGTTTTCTAAACTCATTTGTAACGTATATGAATTGATCAACAAAAATTTCTAGAATAGATTTCCAAACTTGGAAAAAATCTGACTGAATAATAATAATAATAATAAATGTTTTTTTTTAGAAAGGATCATCGGTATCCCATGTTAGGGACCGAATCTTTTTAGCAGTTTTTTCTCTAATTCATCATTATGGTGAAATGGTGTGTTTCTATTGAAAAGACTTCTCCTCCATCTGTTGATGATATTGAATCTGATCAGATAGAAGAAGAAGCTGTTGATTCATCGGTAGAAATAGTCAGCTCTGCAGTAAATGATTTATCACTTAGTGAATCGGATCCATTAGTATGTTTCTTGCAGTTAAACATTTATGATTCATAACTAAATCTAATTATTTGTATGTTTGGCATTTATTTACTTCTCCTTAGCTGTATGGTACACCTAATAAGAGAGGTCAAATATCTCTTAATCACCTTTTGAACTTTACCTTTCCACCAAGACAATCTTTTAACCATACACCTCGAAGACAGAGAGTAACCAATTATCAACCTTACAATAAAGAACGTTTTGTAAATGCCAAGTATGTCAGTCATCTTCTTTTTATATATAATATTTTTTAAAAAAAAACTAAAATCTATTTTTTAAATGTATTCAAGCTTCCGATTTATTATTAAACCAACTGGAGATTATACTGTTTATCTAGTTGATCCTGGTAAATTTAAAAAAAATATTCAAATATAGAATATATACATACTAAAAATAATTAATAATTAAATTATTATACATTAGATATTTTACTTAATTGGGATGATATAGTACAAGTGGTAAAATAATATAACTATTTTTTTTTATCAATGAATTAATTCATTAGTCATTTGTTAATTAATTTGATTAATTTGAAAAATTAGATTATTACTACTCATAGTACACCCAGTTGTCCAATATGTTTACAACAACCAACTGCTCCTCGCGTAACTAAATGTGGTCATACTTATTGTTTCGCTTGCATTCTCCACTATTTACAATTTACTGATGATAATAGCAGTACCAGTACTATTAATAGCAATAGTAATAACAACAACAATAATAAATCGAGTAAAAAATGGCGTAAATGTCCAATATGTTGGGATTCTGTATATGCAAAAGATCTTAAAAGTGTAAGGTTTTGGACTGTTAGGACTATTAGTAAAGTAGGTTATGCTGGATTAATCGAGGGGGAAGAAACAATCAATATGCGATTAATCCAAAGACAGATGGTAAATTTATAAATAAAATTTTTTATATTTACAATTAACAATGATGGTGATGATGATGATGATGATGATGATGATGATAATAATAATAATAGTAATAAATGATGTTGTTGTTGTTGTTATAACAATAGAATTCTACTATTGCACTCCCACGATCAAGAAATTGGCTATTTAAAAATTATGATTCATCAAATCATAATACTATTATCAATACCAATATTTCTGCACCATGGCATTTCACTCCAAATGCGCTGGTATTTTCTAAGTTGATGCTTGCTTCTTTTGATTATATGCAAGAAGAGTTTAATCGAGATTTAAAAGAACTCGATGTAACATTAAACGAGGCCAAAATTTTAAGTTATCATGATGAAATTCCATTTCTTGAGATTGCTATTGTTAATACCCAGGTATTTTTCTTGGCTATTTATGTTATAATTGTTACATACATAATTTTAATTAACATATATACTATTAATTATCATTACTGTTATAATTTGTATGTAGGATCAATTAGCATTGCTTCAAGAATCATATTCGACGGTTCATCTTTTGGAGGTAGAGCAACAAGCCATTGAGATGTTTAATAAATCAAAGCTTTTAGATCTCATTACCACCGCCACTACGGTTCCTGAAACTGACCAAAAATCCTCGCCAATAGTAAATTCTCAGGATTTTCAAAATAGTGAAAATGAAGTTAATATATCAACTTCATCACCCTCATCCTCATCCTGGTTGCCTAATACATTTAAAGATACACCACAAACACAACCACCACCTTCAACGCCTGTATCATCGTCATCATCATCATCAATATTATCATACACCAGAAACCACAATAATTTACAGACTTCAACAAAATTAGATTATAAGCTGAAGTCAAAATCCACTACTAATTCTCAACAACCTATAATTTCTAGTGATAGTGCGTACTATTTTTATCAGTCGGAAGATGGTCAAAATGTTTATTTACATCCATTGGATATTCGTATTTTGAAATATGAGTTTGGAACATATGAACAATTTCCAAACGAGATTTCATTTCGCGTTATAAGTGTTGATGAATCAACAATGACTGAAGTAAAGAATTGTTTGTCAATAATTATATTGTACAATAATCATAATTGAAATGATGTTTTAAGATTTTATTTTTTAATTAATTTTTTATTATTATTTATAGGAACTTCGCAAAAAATTTAAATATTTGGGACATTTGCCTTTGAGTTGCGATGTGACATTTTTAGAGGTTGATTTGAAAGGTGTTGTCTCTGATTCAACGTTGAAAATTTTTTCAAGTATGTCTGTCTATATATAACCTTCGATAGAATGATTGTATCTATTATTGTTGTTGTTGATATTTAATAATTGTATATTATTAATTAACGTGATATGAAAGATGAACTTCAACAACGTCTTAATCGTCGCAAAGAAAAGGCTAGAAAAGAAAAAAGGTTACAAGATCAAGCAGCCAACAAAGAATCTAAACAAGAAATTATAGATTCAGATCCATTTTTTCAACAACCTTCATATTCTTATGGTGGTGAAACAAGCGATAGTAATAATAATAACAATGATAATAATAATAATGGTGGTGGTGGTAATAGTATCACTGACTCCGACAAATCCAATGATAATAATAAAGACATTGATAATAATAATCAGCATACTGGACGCACAACAGTTTGGGGAACTCCTGCAATTACATTTGCTGGAATAGCTGGTGGAAGACATTCATCGGCTGAAGAAGAAAACCATGAAGTTGAAGAAAATAATTGGGATTTTCATGAAGAAGAAGTATTTTTTGGCAAAAAAAATAAAAAGAAAAAACTTATATTGATGTCTACTAGTGGTAGAAGGCAGCGTTAGTTACAATTTTTTCCTCTGGAATAAATAATAATAACAGTAATAATAGTAATAATTTTAATTTAATTTATCTGAATTACTCTTCTACATATTTGTAAACGAATTAAACAAATTAAATTAATGTACGATATTACACAAATTTTAAGATCGAGCTAAAAAAATTCAGGGCTCAAAATTTCAATGACCGATTTTATACAAATAAATAAACCTATTGTGGAATAGGTCAGGGTTGGCGATCAGACTGTCCCATATACCTTTTTTGGTAATATAGCTGTGCAAATGTCTAATTTACCTCTTTTTAGCAATTTGGGTATTCTGATTGCTAACCCTGAAATAGATAAGGCCTTTACCCTGAAAAGTTTTATGCTCTTGCAGTATAATTATTTATTATTATTATATCAATTATAAAAATTTTTAAATAAATTAAAACTGTTTCTAATAATTAATTATTTAGTTACCTACCTATCTTTCTTTTAAATAATATCAATAATTATTATTATTAGAAAATTAGAATATAATTAGGTGAATAGATTATTTATTTATGAGAGATCTTGTAAATTAACAAATAAAGAGACAATTAATTGTATGATAAAAGATATATATATATATATATAGATTATATATAGAAATTTCAAATAATAAAATAAAAGATGAGTCGGACACGTACCTCTCGTCATGCATCAGGAATTTTACCTTCAAAACATTTTTTCGCTCCAAGAAAACCGACATCACAAAATCCCTCAATTAGACATAAAACTTCTTTTCCCACACTACAAAACAACAACAACAATAACCAAGTCACCACCACGTCATTGCCTTTACATCAGAATGCAAATACCATCACAACAGCGAATAATAATTATCCCTTAAATACATTAGAAGAAGATATATCATCACCATCTAATTTATCTTCTTCTATCGCACTTACCACCTTTTCCTCAAATCTTCTCATAGATATATTATCACCGCACAATCCGACACTTGACCAATCAATTGATTCAATACTTAACGTTGATGATGATTCATCACCAGAACACATGATGACAACTCCTGTTCGACCACCAAGTGCATTATTACTAATACGGCAAAAAGATTATGATAATGATCCTACTTCACAACAATCGACATCGATTGATTCGTTGTTCGAGCCGTCTCCTCAGGACTTAATACTAGATCCAACATCAACACAATGTAACAGAAGAAAATAGATAACAGAATATTGAACTTTGAATCAAGACTTTCATCTTTTTGGGTGAACACACCAACACTGAAAGGGAATTAGGTGACATCAGAAATTTATAAATCAACAAAAAATAAAAATAAAAAATAAAAGTGAGTGGATTTATTAATACTATAAATAAATCGAAATTATTCTTTTTTGATACATTAGACATAAAATATTATTCACAATAACTAGTCAGTGATTATCTAAATTATTGTTTCCTACTTCACAACAATCGACATCGATTGATTCGTTGTTCGAGCCGTCTCCTCAGGACTTAATACTAGATCCAACATCATACAGACCGCAAATGATTCGTACAGGATCAGCAGGAATAACATATCCATCATCCACCAGAGATTTAACAAACTCTAATAATATATTTTCGAAAAATTCTAATAATAATCCTTTTTCTAATATGCCTCCTTCCGCTAAACTAACGCCCCAAAAAAATCCTGCATCAACATCTGCAGATCAACAATATATATTCAATGAATTTGATATTAGTCATATGCCACGTATCATTTCACCAACAACAAAATCAAAAAAAAGCAATAAAGATAAAGTAAAGCAGAAAAAGCTTTATCAATTATGGCCTGGGAGAAATAGATTTTTTTTGGGCGGAAGGATAATGACAAGTCGACATTCTTTTGCATTTACGACAGCAGTTTTAACATTAGTTATACCATCTGGACTTTTTTTAGGATTCACGTTAGTGTTTATTATCATAAACATTTTTTTTTTTGGGAGGATGTAGAAATTTATTAATTAATTTATTTTTCGATCGTCGTGTAGTTGTCCTTTTCTTTTTCATAACGTTTCACCGGCAGTGATTTTTATGTTTATCTATTTATTTTTATTAACATTAACAAGTATGCTAAGAACATCATGGTCTGATCCTGGTGTAAGTAGATTTATTTTTTAAAAACAAAATCTTAAAAAATATATTTAAATGTTTTTTTGTTTGTTCTTTAGATCATTCCACGTAATCTTGATCCTTTACCATCAACAGAAGCTCTAGGTAATACTAACAATGCTGCTTATAATTCTAATAATTATGTCTCGCTTCCTAAAGAAATTAGAGTGAATGGACAAGTGATTAGATCAAAGTATTGTGAAACATGTAAAATTTACAGACCCCCAAGATCTAGTCATTGTCGACAATGTGATAACTGTGTTGGTATGTTATTATTTATTTATTATTCAACATAATTATATGAATATTTATAATTAATTCTTTAATTCTCAATTATATAGAAAATGAAGATCATCATTGTATTTGGCTGAATAATTGTATAGGAAGAAGAAACTACAGAACATTTTATACATTTATAGCTTCAGCAACTATAATATGCCTTTATCTTCAAGGATTTTGCTTGACGCATTTATTATTACTGACGAAGGAAAAGAAAATTGGATTTATTGAAACTATAATAGCTGAACCAGTTAGATATCCTTTTTTACTTTTTTACAATATTAATATATAATATACATGTACGTTTTATAAGACATTTATATATATACCTTAATGTGTTATGTTTACTTTTGGGTTGGCTGTATTAGCGTTTTTCTTGATGTGGTCTGTTGGTGGATTGACATGTTATCATACTTATTTAATTAGTAAAAATTTAACAACACATGAACAGGTAATTTTATTTTCATTCCATTAAATTTTTTTATTTAGCTTAATAATTCACTAATGCATGCACACATGTGTAGATTCGTGCACCGGCAGCTAGGAGGAATGGTGCAAAAAATCCATTTTCTTATAAAAATACGTTTGTAAATTGTCTCTGGGTACTTTGCAGGCCTTTGACACGAAGGTTTGTTATTTCACCAAATATTATTCACAACAACTTCTATTTAATACTATAAATACTGATAATATCTTGTGAATTTTTTAAAGTTCTGTGAATAGAAGGGCATACGTTGATATAGAGAATTTGAATTTAGGAGATGGCAGAAGTGATGGCGGATTAAGAAGAGATGTGTATTCAAATGAACAACAACAATTATCACAAAAAATACAAGAGACACAGGTCAAAATCACACAGGAAACACAAGTTACAATTACACATGAGACACAAATAACAGATGCAGAAAATAATAGTGAACCGAATGAAACTTTCATTAAAGGCAGTAATGATAATGCAGGAGAAGGAGCAATGATAGACTCGCCATCCTCGCCATCTTCACCGTCATCATCCTCATCAACTACAGCAGTACAAACTCATCAGCAATTATAATAATATTTTGTGTATTTATTATTTATCAAATTTGGATTTTTAATTTAATCAAAAACAATTTTCATTTTATTTTTAAATCAAGGATTTTCAAAAGACTTTTCTTATTTTTAGCATTCATCCATTCAACTAATAATAATAATAATAATAGATTTAGATGTTAAATTAATACTCATGTATCCAGCCAGGTTTTACTGGCAAATTCTGTGAGTTTTCTTATTTTAACTCTGGTTATATATTCACATTATTTATTAATAAATTTTGTGAATATATTTCTTTACAATTAATTATTTATTTATTTTAATATATTCATTTTTAGAGATATGAATTGTGATCTTTTTTTTTTTGGGTACCAATTCAAATAAATAATAATCATAATAGTTTTAATACAATAACCGAAATAAATCAAATTTGCTAGTGGTTACACCAATACTTTGTCCACTTCTGTTTGAACTCTGCTTATTTAATTTGGGAATTAGAAATTTTATTTGTATCATCAAATCAAGAATTTATGAATTTTGCTAATTTTCAATGACATTCATTCATCAATAATGATTTGATCTTGGAAATTTTTTCCCAATTCTATGGTGCGTCTAGTCTAGTACCAGCAATTGACATAATAAGTGGCCAAATTTGAAAATTATATATGAACACATGTGTACCATTGTTAGATCCACAAATCACTATTTTTTTATATTTTTATGTATTTTTCTATTATTGATTGAATTAAAATAAAAATAAAAGTAGATACAAGGAGCAATTTTTTCACTTTGTTTCTTCTTCAAAATACTTCTAACAGTGCTATAATTCTTGGATTCCATAATGGATCTAATGTAAATTAACCATTCTATATAAGAGGTGAAAAACAAATATCCATCACACATTACAGTGGTAATACAATCGTGATGTTAAAAATTTTTGATCCCTGAAATCCTGTCTGGTTTTGAATTTTAATAATAAAAGTTTATGTTGAATACCAAAAGAAAATTTCAATTCCTACGGTGTTGGTTCCCAAGTCTATTTTAAAGAAGTGAATTCAAAATTGAAATTAAAAGTCATATGTCAAAACTAAATCAAAAGTCAAAAGTCAAAACTGGTTTCGACTTTTGGAGAATCTTTTGACTTTCTCACACTCGTGAAACTCTGCCCTATTATTGTTTATGGAAAAACAGTGCATGCGTCGTATGTTTCCGGAATTATCGTACGGAATCTTCCAGCGAAAAAGCACAAAAGTACGGACGGGATGCACACAAAATAATAATAACACGAAATTTACAGAACCCGTATTTCCCGTACGTTTTTCGTATTAGTATGCATTACCATTACATGATGTATCAACTACGAACACACGACACGAAATACATACGAGATTTGTATTTCTACATACATCCAATGTGTATTTCGTACGTATCCCGTGCTTTTCATGAAAGGGTATGTTTTTAATTCCACATAAAACATACGGAACAAGCATAAAATGAAAGGGTATTGGCATTAGATTTTATAAGCTCTCTATAAGCTTTGGAATGAGAAGTCCGTGCATTTAGAATGGAGGAATTCGACTGTAATATGTTCGTTAAACTTTTTTATTGTAAAGAGCTTTTATTTATTAATATAGACAGTCTTGATGTTCTAGAAATTACTAATTTTCCATGTGACACTAGAGGGAAAATATGATTGGCTAATTTACGCATTGAAAAAAAAATTTGAGCTTTATTAAACAGTCATATAACTTTCAAAATTATACAAAGTGTATTTTCAACTTTTATACAAGCTCATCCAGGCGTCATTTTGGGCCAACGCTAAATAAATCATTGACGGAATCTCTATTTGTAACGAATGATTTAATTACAAATTATCGAAAACCTTTTAAAAATGGTTTTATTATTATTAATTAATTGATTAAATAATAAAATAGGTAGATTAAAATTTGTTAAAAGTTTCTCATTAAAAAAAAAAAAAAGGTTATCTATCTAATTGATTAATTAATTTTTTTATGTTTTTGGATGTAAAAAAATAAAATTTATTTTATACAATATATTATTAATAAATATAGAAAAAATTATTTGGATTTCTCGGACTTCTCTGATAAATTAACAGTTTCTTCTGAAGGTGATAAATCAACAGAATCTTGCGGAGAAAGCATTACACGACCAGAGCCTTCCTCTTGTGAGAAAGCATAGCCACGCATCGGTTCTGTTAAACCTGTTTCCATATTAGTCATACTACCACATATTTCAAATTGATCATTATAAAATTCTTCTGCTATTGTTACTTGTTGTTGATATGGTGGCGGTGATATTGATATTGATAGTGATGACGGTGGTGGTGGTGGAAATGTTGTTGCTGTTGCTGGTGATTCAGTTGTTAATGTATCTGGTAATGATACATTCATTGTATGCTCTGTGGCAAAACTAGGCCTTGGAGATGGTACTGATTTACGTGAATCGCGAGTTGTTTGCCTGGTAAGCGTAAGAGTTGGATAAAGTTTTTTATCTTTAGTGAAATCATGTGTAGGATCCTTTTTACATATCTCTTGAATGATATCAATATCTGTTGGACGATAGTTTCTTTGAT